TTTCTACAACACCAACAAAGAAAAATGTTCCACAGAAATTCAGGTCAGGCAGAACCTGTCTGATAAATGTGGGACTAACTCAGAGAAACACAGAAAAGGAAAAGAAGTCCAGGTGAAAGGTTTTTCTTCTTTTTTAATAGGGTTAATGTTTAAAGTCAGCCAGGACAGAAACTACACTCAGCTGCCTCCACTGGTAGAGGCAGTTCAAGGGTTAGACTGTACTGAGCTGCTCTGAAAAAGACAGAGGGCTGTTGGCATTTTTTCTTTCAAAACAGCTTCTCAGCTTCCACATCCTGCACCTAAATGTTATAACCCCAGGATAAAAGGAGAGAATTTTTAGCAGAGGTCCCTCCATTTCTCCATGGCTTCCAGAAGCACTGCCTTTGCCCCAGCACCATGATTTGGCTGTCTGGCTCCAATGCTGCTGGCACTGTTCTGACTCGAATGGCAGGACAGGCTGATCCAGAAAAAGAAACAGGTTTCCATCAGCACAGTGCGCACTCTGCAGCATTACCTGTCTGCACTGATCTGTCACATTTACTGGGCTGGTCCTCAGCTTCCACATGAAACTTTTCGTTTTAAAAATGCATTATGACCAATTTTTTATAAATTGTGGGGCAGGGGAGAAGTGAGACAATTTCCTGCTTGGTTCTCAGGCATCCTGACTAGCTGCACCACAGTGACTGGGTTTGCTGTGTAAACTGTTACAGGGCATCACTCTGCACCTCTGGGATCTGCTCAGGGCCACTCCTCAGCCTGCAGTGTTTTCACATTCTGGCACATCTGCATGAAACTACACAGATCAGGGAGGCCAATGTTATTCTGAAGTCCTTCAGCACAAATCCCAGGCCACAGAACATCCAGGGAACATCCAGAGTGCTTCTCCCTCACCTGCAACACCATGATGCTTGAGACACACCACAAGGGCAGCAAAGAATTATGCACCCTGAAGTAATTTTAACCAAGCTACAGCTATCAATACCTAACATCTAAAGCAAATAAGCACACTGGAGAGAAACCTGCCGGTTCCAAACCCTTCTCTTTGTCTGATTCCAAGCCCTGAGCTGTTTGGTTTGTGCATTATGGGCTTTTACCTTTGGACTTGTTTTTGTCCTCATCTGTTTCAGCTTCAAGTTTGAGGCCATGTGGTTTCAGGCTGTTGGCAAGAGGCAGCTCCTTGCTTATTGTCAGTTGATTTTAATCCCCTTTCCTAAGGGCATCTGCCCCAGCGTGGCTCCCAGCCACACCACCTCGGGCTATTCTCTCCCCATCCAGGCAGTGCCAGGTTCCTCTGGCTCATGAATGGGAATCTTCCCTCCTCACCCAAGCATGCCCCCATCCCACAACAGGAAAGCTGAGGCTGTTGAAAGAAACAGCAATGGCAACAAAGCTGGCATTGTTGTCCTGAAAAACCCCTGGCTGCAGCCCACCCCGCTCCGCCCCGGATAACGGATACACAGATGAATCCCAGCTTTTGTTTCCAAAAACTTATTTGACTTTTTCTAAAAAAGGACTTAAAAATCGCAACAAAGTCACTGCTGTAGGCAAAGAGTGAAGTAGGAGGGGGGGAAGTGGCACTATTTTTCTCCAAGTCGGTTGTTCAGGGTGGTCTTTGGGGTGTGAATCTCAGATCAGCCTCACACTGGAGGTGGAGGAGGAGGGAGGCACCAGTCAGGATCCTGGTGACAAAAGTAGGGCACTTTTAGGCTTTTACTGATGGACTTGCCCTGCAATGCTGAGGAAAGATGTGAGTAAGAAATGCTCAGTGTTCATATTATGTTTATAATATGAAGACCTGAGATTGGTACATTTTAAGATTTCAGTGACCACTGTGATCTATGGGTCTTCCTTTCTGTGTAGGTCAGGACCCCACCCAGCAAACCCTGGATGAAATCCAACAAACCCTGGTTACACTCAAGTGTGCTGTTTTAGAAGACATCCACTGCTGACCCAGCTGACTGAAGGAACAAGGCTTGCTGAGGGTCCTGACTTGTGTGGGAAGAAGTTTATGGTTTGCAGCCTCAATACACATTCACTGGGCTCCCTGCCTGTTACCTTTTTGTAACAGCAAGACTCTTCTCCTGGATCCTTTGAGAAAAAATTGTATCTAAGTACAGATGGAATATCCATTTGTGTCCATGGACCAAAACTATCAGTACAGACTTGGAGATTTAAATACAAAAGTCATGTCCCTCACCCCATCATCAAGCAACAACTCCACAGGTTAAACCTGAAGATGAACTCCCATCCTTCAACTTTCATAGGATCTATTTCATCCTAACGGACCTATTTAATGGTGTCTCCATGTTTTCACAGTGCAGCTGTCCGGAATAGTGTTTTTTGCAGTCAGTCCAAATGACATTAGTGGCAGATTAGGAATCTGACACATCAATTAGTAATCCATTCACTTTTTCCAAAGTCCACATCAGAAACTATCTGTGAATGCCAAATTGGGCTTGTGATCTCCACAGACATTTGTTAGTCTTAAGGAAAGAATAATAAATCTCAGCTTTTCTACACTCATAAGGAAATCAGACTTCAATAAAGCTCAAAATTATGGCTTTCCAAAATTTATATTTTTGCCAATATGGATATAAGTTTTGATTGGATTTTATTTTAAATTAAGAAACTTGCACCTAGTTTTCCTTGGTTTTCATTTTTAAAGCTCAGGTCAACTTCTTTGTGTTCATGTCTGCAATGGGCTTCCTTACAATTCACTCAAAAATTCTAAAGTCTGTAAAGAATTCTTCTATTTGCACAAGATGTACCGAAACAGGACTGCTCAGAGCATCTCACTGCAGGTCAACACCAGAAGGCCTGACACCTGTAAGGTGAAAATGGTCAATGAAAAAGGTCAATGAAAAGACTGCTGTTGGCCTCCAGAAGACACCAGACAACTGGTGAGAGGTTGAAATGAGCAGCCAGGCCACTGGTGGATGACAGCACAGAGGGATGATTTTGATGCTCAGGTTGGGGGGTGGCAGACATGGCATTTCCCCCACTCTGTTTTGAGTGTGACAGTGCTGGGGGTTGATTAGGCTGCTGGTGGCAAGGCAGAGGGGGCAGAAGGGCTTGCCCTAGTGTGTGACAGACAATTGCAGCTCCTTGTGGAGTGAGATAACCTGGAACATGTCCCCAAACCCTGGTGGCAGCAGAATCCTCCCAACAGCTTCTACAACCTTCAGCTGGAGCCCTCCTGGCTCCTGTGTCGTCCCAGAGCCACATCACCCCCATGCCTTGAGTCCCTAAACTGGCCCTTACAGCCCCCACACCCTCCAGTACTCCTGAAATAGTTTTCCAAGATGAAGGCAAAGAAAGAAAACCAGCAGAGGAAAGACATTATGGTCTTACCACCAAAAACTGCCCTCAGAAAAGAAAATGGAGTTGGCAACTTTCTGCACAGATGGAGAGCTGTATCTGAAAGCATTACATCCCCTATTTATGATGGGGATTTTTTTGCAAGGCATTATTAGAAGGAAGCTTGTCAGCTCTGCTGAGAAACTTGGCAAACACCAGGGCAGACCAGTCTCACTCTTTCACACAGCTGGATTTTCTGCAGCTCAAGTATTTTTCCCTCTTACTCTTGGCCCATCCAAAGATGAGTGCTGAATTTCCCTCAGCATTACCCACAGGTTAATTTGTTATTAAGTTTAGGCTCAGTTTAACATCTTGGCGTGCAATCTAAATAAAACCAAAACCAAATGTCCTTCATTTCTGCTGAAACCACCCTCGGTTTGGCTCAGCTGCCTTTGGTGTCACTGGAGGGTGAACAGGAGATTCATTTTTGGTAGGTAACCTAAATATCCTCCATGCAACTTTGAAACACATTGCCATAAAGTAATTATTTGTCATGGAATGAGATTGGCCAAAACCTGAACACGCTCCATTGGCTCTGACTTAGCTGTGAAATACTTCTTACTGCAGGAAAGGAAGATACACCAGACACATGAGCTGCAGGAAGGGTGCAGAAAAACCTCAGGCACAACTTCATACTGCAGGAACAAAGCTGGGATTTCCCACCTTACATCCAGAGAGGCTGAAGGAAAGAGTGCTTGAAAACCGCTCAGGCACAGTCCTGTCCCCTGTTTAACTTTGTTCCTGGCCTAATTCTGTACCTTCCAAAGCCTAACTGTGACATTGCAACCAGAGTGATGGCAATGGAAAGGGGAAAAAGCTCATCAGTGTTATGAGTAAGTGCAGTGACACTGGGCCTGGAGAGCAGGGAATGTGGAGCTGACCTTTGGTTAACTCATTATCTGCACTAAGAGCATGCAGCTGACTCTTCCAGTCAGTTCTGTTTTCTTCTATCCATGGGATATTTACAAGCAGCTTTAAAGTCTCCAAAGTCACCTGCAGAAAGTACCCAGTAATCTCATTCTGCAAATTGCTGTCTGACTAGGACTTGCCATGTTCTTTCCTGCTTTTTCCAGTGTGTTCAAAGTGTCTTACTTAGGTGTGATTGAGCTGATAAATCAAGTTATAGGAATTCTTTCTGTTGATCAAATAATTCTGCTTAAGGGCATTTCCAAAATACTGATGTTTACCATTTCAGTCACAGCAGATTACTTCACATGCAGAGATGAAACCATTACCAAACTATTTAACTATTAAAGTCCTTGACACAGACACCCGAACTTCAGAAAAAACTTAGCAAGTTCAAAGATTCTGAGGCTCATGTTGGCTTTGTGGACCTGCTCTACACAGTAAAGAAAATCAGAATTTGTCTCTATTACTATCAATCATTTAAGAGATTGAAGCCTCTTTGTGCTACTCAGAATCTGAACAGAGAGCTGAAAACAGGGCAAGAACAACTAGAAAGACTTCTGTGTGCTAAAATGGGTATTTACATAAGCCTCCTGAATATTAGGTTATGTATCAATGTGCTACATTTATGAAATCATAACAAACACACCACTCTAGTAATTGCACTTGTCTGGTTTTAAATAAAAGTATCCTGCAGTGGCATAAGTGAAGAAGGAAACAGAAGGACAAGTTCTTACTTGTGCCCAAGTTCATGTGCAATTGTGAATGCCAGATTGAGACCGTTGTCTTCAGCAAGAACACATTTTCTCTTGGCACTGCAGACACCTCCTAGGTAAGCAATTCCTGCAACAGAAACACAGAGAGTGTTCCCATCAGAACCAGTGAAACAGCTCATTCATTCAAAACATACAGCAGTAACAACCAAAGTGATCAAAAATGCAACCAGAATGAAAAACATTAGAGCAGTTTCCATACAAGATCATCTGAGTGGTTGCTTCCTCACCCTAGTGAAGAATCACTGCAGAGTTTTGTCAGACAGGAAATAAGTAAAACACACTCACCTCCACTGCTATATACTTGGAAAATATATTTAAGTGTCTCAAAAATAATTTCACTGACCCAAAAATTCATCTAGACTTGTCTTGTCTAATACCCTCTACTACAGCATCAGAAGATGCAGTGAAGGAGCCTAAAAAAGCACTTAAATGGAGTTCTCCTGACTTTCAGAATGAAGTCAGGGAGCAGGAATAAAACAATAAAGCAGAGACTCTGAAAAGATCTTACATTTTTCCTTATTTCCACGCTTAAAAGAAAGCTAGAGTGTCAGAGCCAGCAGAGCTGGCAAAGTGCTGCTGGTGAGTCACAAAGCCAATGTAGGTGGCACAAGTCTCCTATTACTGAGTGGAATTTAGGATTTGATCCATGCACAGTATTCTCCTGTTTGTGTGGGCACCACGAACGGTTTGAGGCTGAGGCCAAAAAGGAATTCAAAAGTTATGGCATGGAACCTCTGCTATGGAAAAACAATAGTCCTCATCTGCCCTTCCTGCAGCCAGAGTGGCCCCTGCTGAAAGTGCCACTGCACTTGGGAATGCTGGGCTGGCACCACAGGGTGTCCCAGTGGATATTTCTGCTTTTATCTGTATTTAACAGCACTCAAGGAATCTATTTCCTCACTGCAGTACTGGCTCCATGGAGGGGTGCCTGGATGGAGCTGCCTTTAAGGAGCAGACCATGACCATGCAATGGAGCTATGTTCTCCCTGTTTTCCTTTTTTTTTCCCCTCTCAAGAGTTGACAAAGCTGTGTTTATCAGGGTGCAAAAGTAAAACTTTAGACCTGGAAGAAGTCCAGCTCTGTTTTTAAGAGATTTGAGAACAATAAGGATGTGGATATTAGTTGCCAGGAGTGTTCTGGATGGAATGAAGGGACGGGCAACAGCCTTTTACTTCAGCACTTGCAAAGAGTAAAGGCAGAAATCAGGCACTTACTGACTTTAGAAATGCTGACTGTGAAAGGGCAGATCCACACCACAAGCAAAAAAAAAAAAAAAAAAAAAAAAAAGAAAAAATTAAAAAAAAAAATCAAGATTTAACCTTTTAAATCAATGGCCTAAAAGGCTGGATTTCAGCACTTTTTTGAACTGACTTGATTGTTACATGCAGAATAGTCCAAAGGATGTCAAGGAATTGCTCAGGAAGGAACAGACTTCTTTGGGAAAGATTTTTGAGATTGCAAGCTCAGTCCATACACACCTGATGGCCCAATGAATTTGCCCCTTTTTGGTTAAAGGGAAGCCAAATACGAACATTTGATTATTCTGCCTTTTCTTCCATTAACCTGTGCCAATATCTCTCTCAGTTGTGTCTCACACACGAGGTTTTAACTGAGGAGCAACAATTGCATTTCAGGCACAGGGGTCAATCAGGCAAGTCAGTTTTGCTTGAAAATAACCAACATTTGATTATTCTGCCATTATCTTCCATTAACCTGTGCCAATATCTCTCTCAGTTGTGTCTCACACACGAGGTTTTAACTGAGGAGCAACAATTGCATTTCAGGCACAGGAGTCAATCAGGCAAGTCAGTTTTGCTTGAAAATATTAATGACAAGTTCCTTCTGAGAGATTTTATAAAATGAGGCTGAGTCTATGTTTGCTATCATGGAGGTGGAAGAGGGCAACATTCCCATTTTTGGGAGGTGTGGTGCAGCAGAACAGTCTAGAATTCTGCCAATATATTAAAATATGTTAAATACCAATTAAAATGTCAAATACATTATCCCAAATAGTAATTCTTCTGAAGTCTTTGTTTAGTGGCTCTAATCCCCACTGAACCTGGCAATGCAGATCCACATTATTATTTTGGCTTTTTCTCTGTGCTAAAACCCTCATTATTCAAAGGTGGAAAAGTAATGATTAAAGACTTGTACATCCATCAGTGGTCAAAGAAGTAGTGACGGTGGCTCAGTTACAGACTCTTAGTCATCTATTTTTATTAGCTATTTTCAGTGCTTAATGTGAATCCTGTGTGGCCATTTTATAATATCTGCAACGATCAATTAAAAAAATGTAGCCATTTAAAATTAGTTTATTATTACAGAAACGGACTGGGCAGAGAAACTCATAATCCTGGAAGAGCAGAAACCTTTGGAGTACATGGAATGAACTCAGTAAGAAGTCCAGCTCATGAACTGCTGAGTGCTTATTAATAAGAGTCATTCTGGAGCAGTAAGCCAGTTATAACAAATTGGTATCACATTTTAAGCCTGAAAAATCTTGCCTTAAAAACGTTTTTGAAATCTATTTTTTCAATCAAACTATTTCCTAAGACTATAATTCTCCTTTGGACCAATACATTTTAGCATTAATTCCTCTCATCAGAATATCAACAGCAAATAAATTATTGATCTGCAAACATATTCCAGATCTTTAGTAAATCTAGCTGAACCATTAACATAAATTCAACTTTTTTGTAAGTCAGTACAATGACCCACATAACTGATATGCAGAGAAAAACACATTTTAACCAACAACAATAGTAGCACAATGCCTTGGTAGCTGCATTAACATGATTTATGTCTTCACTGGGATGAATGGAAACTGTTGTTTGCCTCTTAAATTTCCAGATTTTTACCTGAGCCTTTCAAGTCTGCACAACTGGAATAAAAACTTCACAAATTCTGACATGTTTGTGAAAATCCTGGCGTGCCATGGTTCTACCAGGCTGGGAATAATATAAGAGGAAATGCTTTTATTTGGTAATTTTGCTTCTGGCCCTGTCTGTGAGACAGGTGTGTGTGTGTGAAAACAAAAAAATAAGGAAGGAAGCTGAAATGGGATTTCTGTGTTTTATTTTTTAAGAAAACCCCACACTTCTCACGTGCCTCTGCAAATACACAGATAGTGACTTTCTTTGGGGGAAAAATGTCCTTATCTTTCAGATATGCTGCCAGCAGTAACCACAAATCTATTTTTAATATACAAAAAAGGTCAAGCAGGAGCATCAGTGGAAGAGGGAAAGGAAAGCCAATTACTATTTTTACTATTACCAAGCACGAAGGTTTTTTCCTTTCTCTCCTGAGAAATTACATAATTACAGCCCATAACTTCTGTGCTTGGGCTTGGACATGCAGAGCTATCTGCACTTCCCCAGCAAAGCCTGGGACACAGGCAACTGTGTAAACTCACATTTATCCAAAAACTTGTCATACATAAACAGTTTGCAGCTGTTGGCCTTCCTGCCAGCTATGAGCCCTCCACCAGCAGTATCTCCAAGGGGAATGATCCCATCTCTCCCCCCAGCCCAGCAAGGCATGAGGACATTGCACACTTGCCACAGGGATGGCCAAAGCCGGGAGAAGACAAGTCCTGGTGTGTGGGTTCCCATTTTGTCCTACTCCAAACACCTGGGGCTCCCTCCTCATGGCTCTGGAGTATTCACTCAGCAAGTGGTTTGTCCAGGTACTCCAGCTTTCAACTCTCTAATGTCTTGTTTTCATTGCACTCCTAATACTTTAATCTCTTCTTTTGCCAACCACCTCTGGACACAAAACTTTTACTTGATTAAAACTTGGCTGGCTCTCCTCCTGCTCAATGTATTTGCTGTTGGGAAGGGAGCCAAACTCCCAGTCCATCTGCTTGGCACAGACAGCGACTCCCTGCACATCCACATGCTCAGAGCAAAGCTCCCATTCCCCATCATTACTAGTTTGGTGTTGAGCTGATGTTTTTCTCATCCTCCCATGATTTTCAATTTGTGCAGCTCACACATTGCCATCAATTACATTCCTGTAGCCTCTCTTAACATCCTACACGAGTAAAATCAGGAAACCCTGAAGTGATTCATGCTCTGCCTTTCCATTCAATGGCAATGATATGTTTGACAGAGATGCCCTGCCTGTATTTACACATCAAGTCAGTCACCAAGGGAATCTTCCAGTGCTTGTGATACTTAAAATGAAAAATACTTCTCCCTTTCTATAAAGCCTACATAGAAAAGGTTCCAAAATTTAAGAAACATTAAAGAAGAAACCCACTAAATTGCCTCCAAGATAGGTACTAACACTGTTCTACAGCTGAATAAACAGAGGTCTCACGAGCCAGCAGTATCCAGGTGAAAAAGAACTGTATCCATGGAAGGGCCCACTCCAGCACATACAACACAGACAGGCTGAGGCTGTCACCACTGAGCCTGCAGGCCAAGTCTGGTTTATAGGGATCATCCAGAAAAGTGAACAGGGTGAGCTGTTCCTTCATTTTATGAGAATGTTCTGGTTCAAAGCTGGACATGCAATCTTAGTGGCACCGATTAATTTGGCTTAATGCTGGATAGTCCTCCAAGATGCCAATTTCTGTTAATTTTGCAGTAACAACATGGTTTCCATTAGAGTTTAATATTCATGTATGGAAACTGTTTCCCTTAGCAATAATTTTCATTGTTACGGCATTTAACAAAAACCACACTGAAAACAACACACTCACCATGAACCACAACTACAGAAATTACAGTGCAACCAACCAGTGCATGAGACACAGCTACAGTCAGGTAGGAAAACAAGCTCATAATCACAGCAGTGCAAGTCACAGTATTTTGAACTCAAGTCTTTATAGAGGAAGATCTTCTGATGTCATGGACCAGCTGATGGAAGCCACCAGGACTCCTGAGAATCCTGAGCACCAGATCCTGACTTTCTGTACCTGGGCAACTTTTTGCAAATGTGCCCATCAGCACAGAATCCTCTTCTCCCTGTGGAGAATACAGCCTGTCCTGAATTTCACCATGACCCCTGTAAAAACTGCTCACCACGACCTGCAGGGATGCAGCACAACTTTCCCAGAACTCA